ATTTAATGCAGAGGCAGCTTTTGAAGCTCATTGGAGGTTCTGGGTCAGGAGAGCAGTCCCTGGGCATTCTCTCAGATGGAGCCCGAAGCAACGAAGCCCAGTGTTCTGCCCCAAATGTTTTAAGCCTCTAAGTCACCACACCTGATGCCAGAGCTGGGGCACAGTCCTCTCGGCTACACCTTCCCAGCACCCTGCACCTAGGAGGCACTCAAGCAAACGTTTGTTGAATGACTTTAATATGTGCCATGTGTTTGTGGCATTGCTTTACTAAACTCTGGATGTGGTGTATCAATTTTCTAGTTCAGCAAACCTTCAGTGAGTACCTTCTGGGTGCTAAGACAGGACCTGACACACACTGAAGAGGGATCAGATACACTTTACAGTTGCCCCATTTCCTCCTCTGGACTGTGGGCTGCTCGAGGGCTTTGCCTTTCAGCTCGTTTTTAATTCTGTGCCCAGAACACAGCACAAGCTTACTGAAGGGGAGTCTGTGACTGATGAGTGTTGCTGAAGCTGTGGTGGGGAACAGGCACCCCTGAGTGGTGAGAGCACAGCAGACTCCCTGTCCCTGTGAACAGACCAGAAAAGGGGGCTTGCTTTGCTCTGAAAACAACCCTCTGCAGGTTCAAAATCAACAGGCCACAAACAAAAGGGGTATTTTCTGGTTTCCACGTTCCATCCTACAGGCCTGGCTGTGGTGTGGCCCAGAAGGCCACAAGCACTGGACAGTGAACCCCAACCCAGGAGGCGGGGCCGGTGAGGCAGTGCTCAGAGGGTGGGGCCCTGCTGAAGGGGAGGTGAGGCAAGCTCCGCCCCTCCCCCCATGGACACTTCCAACAACCTGGAGGCTCTGGGGCTTGGAGGCAGGACTTCACAGAGCTCCTCAGGAGAATGTGCGCTGAGGCCAATGGGCTTCTGGCCTTTCAGGGTGAGCGCAGTGGAGGTGGCGCTGGGCTCTGGGCCCTGAGCCTGGGTTCTGTTTTCCTGTCTCCTTCCGCACAGATGCAGGCACTGAGGCTTGCTCACGCAGCCTCGGGCATCGTGGGGCACAGGACCAGGCAGTGGTGATGGCTGCTGATCGCCACTGAGTAGACTCAGACTCAGGTGGCCCTGGGTGTGTGAAGAATGCCCCAAGGGGTTCCTAAGCTGAGACCTCTGAGGAGCAGACCACCAGACCTGGCTTGGTGAGCACCTCTAAGTGGGTTCAAACTACCAGCCTTTTGGCTAATGTTCTATTGCTTGACTATACCACCCAGGCAGTAGAGAGCTGAGAGCTGACAGGAGACGCTCCTGGTTGGGGTTCCAGCCCTGACCCCTCCTGTTGTGTGACCTTAGTAAGTCACTCCACTTGCAGGAACACAGTTACCTCATCTGTGGCCAACACCACATCCCACTGGTTCTAAGTAGCACAGTTTAACATCTTAATGGAATAAATTACAGAGTCATGACATCTTACAGTTAAAATTGGCTTCCCCCCACCCCCCGCCATGTAGCAAAACATACAATGGTGTGTTTTACAGCTGATGGGGCCTTAGATACACATGACTGGGAAAAAAAGACCTGTCCAGCAGGATGAATCCTGGTGATAACCTCTCTAACCTGGTGTCCACATGACAGAAGCAAAATTTCAAGAGCATTCCCCTTCCTCTTCCTCTTGTTTAGACGCTTTACAGAACAGAGCACAGAGGGGGGTGTGTATGTGTGTCTCCTCTCTAGCATTGAACGAATCAGTTCCGAGCATCAGGAAATAAGTGGTTTTTAGTCAGTAAATGCCCCTTAACTCCTCTTGGCAATAGGCATGCTGTTTATAGAGGCTGCAGAGCAGGTTAAACAGGCCACAGACTCCTTTCCTCTCAGGTAACGGGTAAGGGTCACCAGGAGCACAGCCTGGTCTGGCACAGGCCCTCTCTCTCTGGTTTCCTAGTGCTGGTTGCATATGACCTGGATAGGAAGTCCTAGGGGTGGCCAGGTAGGGACAGTACCAAGAGGAGCTACTCCCCCAGGCTGCTGAGACCACCGCAGCCTGTGACCAGGGCTCGATCCAGGCAGAGGATGGGTTGCCTGGAGAGCCAAAGTCATGCGGTGGTGAATCCAAGGCCTCTTACACAGGCCAGCACGAGGCTGGTCGGGGCTTTGCCCAAACCCACCCAGCACACGGGGAAGGCAAGGTTCCAGCTGACCAGTCAGCGTGGCAGTGAGGGCTGCTTAATGTTACCACACTCATTGTAGAGCAGTGGTGTCCTCCACTCCCTCCCCTGGGTCTCGTTCCAAAATGCTACAGAGTCTTTAATAAGGTTTTTTTAAACTAATGACACTCTTAAATTGCAATTCTTGTCTATTACTGAATGTAATGGCAATAAATAGTGGCATAAACAACTAGCACAATGAAAACCACATCTTTAGATTATAATAGTGCATGCAGACAAAAACCACAGGATCATTCAAAGCGTCATTGCAATTAGATAATGACAGCTCTGACCAGAACCCATTAGAAAGTTCAAAAATTAATTAGCAAAGAGCTTTAACTTTGTAGGTGTAACGATACATGTAAGTTGAGCTTACAAAAAATGGGGTTGGGTTTTTATTTGTGTGCCAACATGAGTGTTTCTATAAAACATAATACACTTCTGCTGAAAACACTGTACAAATGTCCTACAGATGGTCATTTTGGCATCACTTGGCCTGGCAGTATCTGCAACCTCTGTAGTCCCCCACCTATGTCAGTTTCTTGGGGGCTTCAACCGCTCCTCAAAAGATTCTGCTTCAAAATGAAAATGTGAGCATACTTCCCCAAGTCATTAGAGAAAAACAACTAGTTAAGGTTACTGGGTGGTGCAGATGGGTAACACACTTGGTTGCTAACCAGAAGGTTGGAAGTTCAAGTTCGCCGAGAGGCACCTCAGAAGAAGGATCGGATCTACTTCTGCAAACCCAGCCACTGAAAATCCTCTGAAGTGCAGTTCTACCCGGGCACACAGGGGCCACCATGAGGTGCAGTCAATTCAATGCCAGTGTTTTCTTTTCAGGTACATATCTTTTGGGGACAAGAGTAGGATTTATCGAGTTGAGATGGACTCACAAAACCATGTCCACTCTGAGAAGGAACGGTCAGTCGGTTCCAGATCCGAAGTGTAACTAGGGCACTATCTGGTTTTATTGGACATGGTCTGATGGAGGTCTGGCCTGGTGCTGGCACCCAGCACAGGTTTGCTGTGTGACACATAAACTCCGAAATGCTCTCCTCTTCTGCCTCCCTCAGTCAATGAGCAGGTTGGAAAATGTAATAATAATAATAAAATGATACCTGCTCTTGTCCAGCTGTCTCAGGCTTTTTAGAATCCTGTGCTAATCTTCCCATTAAGTGGGAAGGCTCTAGGTTTCCTCCCTGGCAGGTTGAGAATCAAGAAACAGAGAAACGAGTCCTCTTGTGCAAGTCCAGCACAAGACAAAGCAGAGAAGGAACCAGAGCTAATGGGGAGAAGGAACGAGCTGGCTTGGGTCAGCCATCAGCCCAGGGGTGCAGAAGTTTGCAGATACGTGTTTCAGGCAGCACAGGAAGGTAGGAAGGTAGGTGAAGGCAGAGGGGACTGGAACCCAGGAAATGGGGCGGGGGAGAGTCACATCAACATTTTGATTTACTGTCTCAGTAATCTCCAAGTAGTTAATGTACTATGTTGCTAACCAAGAGGTTGAAGGTTCAAGCCCACCTAGAAGTGCTTTGGAAGAAAGGCCTGTTAATGCATTCCACCTTCCCCATCCTGCCCCCCCACCCCAAATTCAGTCACTGAAAACTCTATGGAATGCAGTTCTATTGGGGCACATGCAGAATTGCTGAGCTGGAACTGGCCTGACAGCATTTGGTACTGGTATCAAGTGCAAGCTCACATCTTAACTATCAGTGAATGCCTTAGAAGTCAACAGGGACAGGCGAGTTGAGAATCAGAACAGAGCTCAGTTCCTCCCCACTTCACCGGCAGGCTGCCTGGGAATGCCCGCAGCCTCGGTTAAATGCCAGGCCCAGCAGTTACAACAGGAAAGGTGCAGAGTTCTCTAAGCCATAGAGTGCCTCTTCCAAATTCAGGGGGGTCACCTGCTTCCAGGAGTCTTTTCCTTCCCAGGAACAGAGAATCTGCTGCTTGTTTTCTCTTTGGGAAGGGAAGGATGTCAAAGACTCAGGAGACTAAACGCTTCTAGGCTCTGCATCAAGGTGCAATGTGCTTACTGTGAGGCTGTTTGGGGGTGCAAGGGTAAAAGAGCTTCCGGTGGTGACACAGCTCAGAGCACTGGGTCCCACAACACTCATCAAAACTCCTCTGAGTAAGAAACTAAAAAAGCAAGTTGTTCTTTTATGTTCTCCACCCACCTTCCCCCTAAGGAGTTGCTGCTTTAGAGCTGTAAACAATGAGCTATTTTTTCCTCCCCTTAGAAAATCGGAGTGTCCCTTTTCTATACCAACCGAGGGAGTTCTGTTTAGGTTCAAGCTTCATACATTCAAAACCAGCTATGTCACATCCCCGGCAAGTGAATAGTTTCTACTCTAACACCTGGGCTCCAGATTGCACATGCCTTCAGTGCAAGGCAGCCTCCTGGAGCTGGGACCCCGTATAAAATACCTGTGCGTTCTCTTGCACGCTCATCCTCTCACTCACACATTCTGTTTTTCTCACATTTTCTCTCTCTCCCTCCTTTGTCTTTACACACTCAACCGAATCCCAGAAAAAGCATTGCACAGAGGACGCTGTTTCCCTGCTGAAAAGTCACCAAGGGACAGGGTGGTCCGCCAGGCAGTTCCTGAGCTCACTCTTGGGGAGCAAAGCACTCTGAGCCCTCCTCTCCCTGGGGCCTCATCTCCACAACTGTCAGGCCTGGCCCTCCACTGGGAAGTGGCAGATGAGATGGCCGCTGGCCTAGGACTTCTTGGCGGTCATGGTGGTTGCCTGGCCCAAGGGGCTTTCAGAAAGGTGACCTTGCTTCCAGCCAAGGCCCGTGGGTGGGCCAGGCTATGGCCTGTAAATCTTAATGACGTCCTTGATGGGCCGCCGGCAGATAGGACAGCAGGCCCGGGCCTGTCTCTTGAGCCGCAGGCCACAACTGTGGCACAGGCACATGTGTCCACACGTGTAGATGACTGTGTCCACATCACCGTCAAAGCAGACTGTACACTCGCCATTCTTGCTGCCTGCCAACTCCGGAGGGGAGAATGCCGGAGACACTGGGGGGCTCAGCGGGGAGCTGGGGGCTGTCACTGCGGGAAGGAAGAACAGTTCCAGAATAATGCTTTCTGAGATAGACTCAACTGGGACAACCCAAGAAGATAGAGTTTCTATGGTGGAACCCAGGGGAGAACAATTTTGAAGGCTCAAATTTTTTCTTCTTGGTTTTGTTTCTCTGTCCCCAATCCCCAAGTATCTAGATAAAATGCTATCCCTGTCACCCTTTGAGATGCTCTATTCAGAGGCTTCTCCATCCAGCTGAGCATAAAGCTGGGGACAGGAGAGGATACAGGGAGGTTAAACAGCCACCCAGCTTTAGCACAGCCAAGGGAGCCAGACCAATGTCAACTTCGCCATTCCTCTAGAGCATGCATCATCTTACCCAGGGATGACTCAGATGCCGAGGAGGACTGGTTCACACTGAAGGCCATGTCGGAATCACTATCATCCTGAGAGCCGCTGAGGGATCCTGATGGAGATGTGGTCGCAGGACTGGACTGCAGGGTGCCTGAGACCCAAAGGAATCTTTTATAAATCGTGCAAATGTTGATATGCTCTGCTATTCTCTCTACTGATTTAAGCTTCAGCTTCTCCATCTGTCTAATGGGACTCCAAGAGCTACCATATACAGAACTCCACCAAGAACTGCAGAGATCTTATGTGTGTGCTGGACATCTGTTCTACGTCTTCTCAAGCATCCATCCTTGCTTCTTTAAGAAAGGACACTGATTTTCTTTGGGGCACTACCTCACCTTGATATACATGGTCTAGCACAAACCAATAATAAGTCTTATTCTTTGGCCTTTGTAGGGTTAAGGGTTGGGCATTTAATACAGGAAATAAAAATGGCGTTGATAATTTATCAAATGCATAAAGGCTGCGAGGCCCTGAGACTAGTAAGTTACTTAGGTTCAGACAACAGTCTGAATATCACCATCACCTGGGCACTTGTTAGAAATACACATTCTCGAGGTGCGCCCTAGGGCTAG